TGCGAGGGGCCTTTCCCGGTCTCTTGGACCATCTTGAGGGCCTCTAGGGCCATTTTGAGGCCCTCTTGGGCAGTCTTGGGGGCCTCGTGGGCCACTTTAGCGCAATCTCGTATTTCGGGGGGGCCTGGAGCACTGAAGCGCGAGTGCCCCAAATCATTTTTAGAGCCTTCTTGTAAATACGAAGATGATGGCACCTTGGTCTCTCTGTGGGGTACTCTTGGGGCCCGTTTTGGGCGTCTTGGGGGCCTCTTGGACTATGCCGGGGCGCTCTTGGGCCGACTCGGGGCCCTTCTGGGCCGTCTTGGGGGCCTCTTTGGGGGCCCTCTGTGTCCTTCTTGGCGCCCCGTGGCCTCTGGCAAGGCCACGCGGAACGCCCAGGAGCTGTGCGGGGAAGCTCACCGCCCACCAAACCACCCCGACCCAACCCGAAGGCACCGATTTGCCCTCCATTTCCAGTGGGGGGGGGGTCGGGGAACATTGAGAAAACACGTGTGGAACCCGTTCCCCCCCCAACCCGAAATTCGGGTCTTCGGGTTAGGTTGGGGTGCTCTGGTGGGCAGTCAGAAGCCCGATCTTGGGGCCCCTGGGCCCCTGGACAAGTGTCTGCGCATCCGGGGCAGAACTCGAACTGATCTGAGGACACTGCAGTCAGGGACTGCGGCGCGGTGGCGGGTGCATTCTTCTGGGCCGGAGCAATCTCAGTCCTCCAGGGGTGGTGTTCCCGCTGCAGCGCTGCTCACATTTCAAGACCGACGTGTCGCGTGGCCGGTCAGAATGGTGCGCTCGCCCCATCGCGGGTCCCACTTCTGGATCCGATGCCTTCCTCGTCGTTGCCGTCCTCCTGTCCCCTCCTCCGCCTTCATCTGCTCTCCAGCCCCTCCCGCTCGTCCTGCTCATCCCACTGCTGCCCCTTGTGCGAGCAAGACTCGTAGAAAGGCGGCTGCCCCCCGAAGCCTTCCATCCATCCATGCCTCGCCCCCAATTCGGAGGTTGATAGACCTCCTACCTGTCACGTCGATTTGCGAATAGACCGCTTTCGGTTCGCGAGAGGGCGTCGCGGCAGTCATTTTTGCGGGTCCAGGTCCGTCGGTTTCGATCTCAGGCCGTTTTCACTAAAGGGTGGTTTGGTAAAGGGAGGTTTGTCCACCGCCGACAAATCCCCTCGGCAGACTCCTGGCCCAGCCGCCTCATGACGGGCTGCGGAGGACGGAGGCGACAGTCTAACCCTCTGCCCGGGAGCCACCCATCCCCCATCCTCCTCTTCCTCCTCCTCCTCCTCCTCTTCCACCTCCTCCTCCTCCTTCTCCTCAACCGTCTCCGCGTGGGAAGCTAAATCGAAGACGGAGCCCGATAGCGACAAGGCGAGCAGTGGCAGCAGGTGCTGGCACTGCGAGAAATGTGCAGGAGCGAACGTCACCAGTTGCAAAACGGGGATCA